TTCAACGTAGTTGATCAAAATTTATTAGAAATGCAAAACAACATTACTATTTTGTAGAACAATTTTTAAAATCAAGAATGGCTTTGGACCTGAAAGGCATAAACTCAACTAAGTTAACACAAACATCAATGGGAATTAAGTGCAATATTTCTTTGTTTTTTCTGAAAAAAAGTTTGATGATTTCACTGCCAACATGTTCTCTTAAGTGATTAATAGCATCTAACCTCAATGAAGGCAATTGATGGGATATCAACTTCAAAACAAGAACATTACTCTTTTTTGAAGAATTTTTGAGCCAATTTTGGTGTGTGTTTGGGATTGTTTTCCTGATGATATATCCATCCACGGGACAATTTATCCTTTGCATGAGGTAACAATGATCTTACATATTTCATTGTATATTTATTGATCAACAGTTCTATGGAGCGCATCAATATCGGGTGGACATGGAAAAATCCGGTTAACTTTAAATTGAGATTTCTCTAAAACCATAAATGCTTTTTATTTCAATTTTTTTATTATTAAATGTGTTTACATAAATTAGAGTTTCAAAAATCTGTGAAATGATGCCATCATTTCACAGATTTTTTCTTTTTTCACCATATTGGCCGCATTAATCCACTTTTTTTGGAAGTCTTTTTTATTATTTGTTACTCCACCTGTTTTACGAAAAACTCCTTTAACTATTGCCCAAAAATCTTGCGCGATTGGAGGATTCATCAGGACGATTTGGAGGATTCGCATCTTTAGGAACAATTTTCACATTATTATCTTTGCACCACTGTAAGACTTTTTTAGAATAGTGAGAGGCAGCAAAATCGGGCCAAAAGAGACATCAGTATTTGTGTTTTTTTAAAAAAAGGCAAAAGTATTTTTTGGAGGCATTCTTTGATGTAAGGATTGGCAGTCAAGGTCTTTTTAGTGACAAAACAAGAGGACTGCATACCACAGCTACAAATTGCTTGCCACACAAGGAACTTGGATGCAAATTTTTCTCGTCGAATATATTTAAATTGATCATCGACAGGTTTATCTTTGTTTTCATAGTAAAACTGTTGACCAGGAAATTGTTGAAAATCAGCCTTGCAATATGTTTTGTCGTCTTCAATTATGCACATTTTTTTAGACGCCATTATTTAAGCTTCTCTTAGGTGTATTTTTTTTTTTATGAAATGCTGTAATTCCAGCATTTTCAAGTACTTTTTTGATATAAGAACAAGAAGTCTTGAATTTTCTTGCTAGATCTCGCTGTGACTGGTTTGGATTTCTTGCTATTGAACGTAAAATCGACTTTACCTTTTTAGATTTATGGAAAGTTTTTTTTCTTCTACTTCCAAGTTTTCCTTCGAAGATTTGAGTAGTCTTGAATTTGTTTATAATATCTATGACTGAAGATTTTGGGACATTTGTGCGTTTAGCAATCAAGCAATAGGAAGTCGATGGATTTTTGCAAAAAAAATTCTCAACTTTTTTACACACCTCAATTTGTTTCCAAAACATTTTGCAAATCATTAATTTGTAAACAAAAATTTATCAACACCATTCAAGATAAGGAAGTAATGTTTAATTAAAAAATAAAAAATAATAAAAACATTTGTGGTTTTGGAGAAATCTCAATTTAAAGTTGAACAGATTTTTCCGTGTCCACCCGATACTGTCCAAACTAAAACATATCAAAACATATTATTTGTTAGCTCATTAAAAATCATTAGTTTTAAGATCAACTTATGTAATATTCATTCAAAGCATAACAGTAAACATAAAAATCTTTTAATTGGTATATAATATGTTGGATTTAGTGAAGTGCTGAAATATTAGTAAAATTCAATTTTATTTATCTTGGACACAATATTTTGGACACTGAATATATATATACATATATATATATATATATATATATATATATATATATATATATATATATATATATATATATATATATATATATATATATTTATATATATATATATATATATATATATATATATATGTATGTATATAAAATTGAAAATACATCATATACGGTAAATACATCATATATATATTATTTATTTAACTATTAAAATTTCTTTAATTTAAAAAGTTTTAACAGTTAAATAAATAGTATGTCACCGTATATGATGTATTTTCAATTTTATATACAAACTTCATCATACTATTAAGATGTCATTAATATATATATATATATATATATATATATATATATATATATATATATATATATATATATATATATATATATATATATATATATATATATGTATGTATATATATATATATATATATATATATATATATATATATATATATATATATATATATATATATATACATGTATATATGTATATATGTATATATGTATATATATACATATATATATGTATATATATATATATATATGTACATACATACATACATACATACATACATACATACATATATATGTATATATACATATATATACATACTCTCTGCAGAACTGTCCTTGTTGAAGGAATTAAAACGAAGGTCAGGATCGCTAGTATAGCTCTGTAGTTCCACCTTGCATTGCTGATGTTGGGTATTTTTTGAAACCTGATCAATGGAAAATGTCCCTATTCCTCAAAAAATCAGAACACTCGAGTGAGATGAAACAAAAATTTCATATTATCTCTCCAACCTGATGTTTCGAGAATTACTTCTGTTCCGTTATCAAACTGTGTTTTCAGTTGTTTGTACTCCTTCAATAGTTGAGATACAAATGGATATTCAATGTTTGACGATTGTGTTTTACTTCCAAGTTCTTCATCCATCACCAAACAAAGGATTTTATCTAATACATGATGTTGACAACTGATAAACTGAGTTTTGTTGATGCGTTTCTCGTTGCAATATTACAACAACACCATACTTTTTTCCAGTGTTAATGCTGGTGGTATCTGCAACAATCATCTGTATTGAATTCCATAGGTGAAATTCATCGAGGACTTTAGAAATTCCCTTAACAATAGTTAAAACCCTACCATCTACCAAGCCAAGGATATCTAATTTGATTTCTCTTCTTTCGTTTTTAAGGAAGACCACTTGATAATCCATTCTGTCAATGTGCTTTTTTTTTTTTTAAACATCTTTGCTTCCAACAAGGCTGCAAGCAACCACTAATTAGTCTTGGAAGTTACTGGAAGAGAAAAGATGAAGATTGTAGAGCATAATAACGATTGACAGACGACTTGAAAGATTGCAAGTTATATGAATTAGGAAAGCAAGATGAAGGAAGCGAATTCCAAAGAACTGATGTTCGAGGGAAAAAAACTAGACGAATAAGAGTTTTTGGAGCACTTAGGAACAGTAACAGAAAAAGGATGAGACTTAATTGAATGATGAGTAATACAAGTAATACAAATTAAAGTTCACTAGCCACTGTGAGCCCCTTTGAATAGGATCTCACTTCTGCTGTAGCAGAAGTGAGATCCTTTTCAAGCTCAAATGCACCCTCCAAGCAATCAGAGAGAGTTGGCTTCTTATCATGACAAGAATAAATGGTAATATCATCAGCTAACAATGCCACCTTGGATGTGAGAATATCTGGAAAATTGTTAATGTAAATTAAAAAGAGTATAGGACCAAGGATTGAACCTTGAGGAACCCCTAAGGTTACAGAATAAGAAGAAGAGTGCTGTCCATTAAGGATAACTTTTATACTTCAGTTGGAAAGTTACGATTGGAAAGGAAGGATTCAATAATTTTAAAGATCTTTCCAGATACACCGTAAGAAGAAAGTTTATGGAGAAGACCAGCATACCAAACTTTATCAAACACTTTAGAAATGTCAAGAGCGATGGCCTTAACCTCTTTACTTTTATCTAATGCACAATAAAACCTATTGGTTATTACAATTAGTAAATCAGCTGTAGAACGAGAAGATCAAAATCCATATTGATGATCAGAAAGTTATTAGATTCAAGATGAGAGATTAAGTGTTTGTCAATTAAAGAATCAAAATCCTTGCTTATGATAGGAAGACTAATGGGACAGTAGTTAAATGAATCAGAGTGTAAGGACCAACTTTCCATATGCAGTTTTTCAATCATTCTTTTCTTCAGCTTGATTGCCTCTTTAATTGTTGACTTGTAAATAGCTGATTGACATGGAGTTAGGATGTAAATACCTTCACAAGCCAATTGCTTGCATATGTTAGCAGCTTTGATTGTTGATACTCTTGTGGTGGTCACTAAGTTGACTGCAATTTTGCCTTTATGATTTTTTTTGCTCGGTGTAGGAGTTGTCTCATCTTCTTCATCATTGTTTTTATATTCACTGTCATCAGCCTCAGAGTCAGAATCACTAAAACCAGGATAGTAAGATGATGAAAAGGATGACTCGTTAGAAAGTTTTTGTCTTTTAGAGGGGTAGATCGTTTCTTTACTGGCAGCTTGGTCTATAGAGTATCCCACTGTTCCTTTGCTTTCCACTTGGAGATGGTATTATTCGCTTGTCCTTGGAAGATAACCATGTTCCATCCACTTTAGTAATATCAAGAATTTGATCAAGGGTTTCGTAGTTTTCCCGCTTGACACAGTCTTTATAATATTTCAGTATTTTATAAAGCTCTGCTCGTATAACTTGATCAGATACATGCGGAAAATTCAGTTTATTCATCCACAATTTGGTGACTTCTTTAGAAATTTCCACTATTTGTTCCTTTCTTCCTTTGATTTTTCGTCCAAGGAAATGGTAGCATCCGATAATTTGCTTTTGGAGAGGCATTCTGCACTTTTCTTCCAGTAAATATTCTTCCGAAGGGACCATTCTTCTTCCTTTATGAGATTCTTCAAATTTTACTAAATTATTGGTCCATACATCGTTGTTCTTCTGAATGCTACTATCACTAGGCTTGTATGCCTATATATATATATATATATATATATATATATATATATATATATATATATATATATATATATATATATATATATATATATATATATATATATATATATATATACGATTTTCAAATTTAGGTCTTAAAGCATCTATCAGAAGAGAAGCATCGACATGCTGTAGATCGCGCACAAGGGGATGATGTCACATACATGCTAGAAAAAGAAAGAGAAAAACTTCAACATCAAGTAAATAGTTAAAAGTAATGAAGTAACAAAAAATGAATGATTATAAATAATGTTTTTTTTAATTTTAAGTTTTTTTTTAATATAATATAATAAGTTTGTATATTTTTGGAATTATAATTTATAATTGCAAAATTTAAACTTTGACAGTTTAAAGTAAATAATTGCAAGTATAAGCAAATATAATACAAATATAAAAAAAAAGATAATAGAATAAGCAAAGTAAATACCAAATATATAATATAAGCTAAATACTGTCAAAAACTAATAAAATATAATAAAAACCAACTCCCAAATATTATATATCATACAAGTTACATTAAAAGTTATTACATATAAAATTTAATGTTGATTATTTTTGAATTGAAAAATTAAAATTTTAACTTTTCTATAAATCTAGTCAACATTAGCATACGGTCTTGTACAGTTTTTTTTAGGGAGGTTATAACATAACAATAGAATTTAGTTATTGTTCTAATTTTAAATTCGAATTTTGTATGGTTGAGTCTACTATATTGCTATGTCTGGTATTTAACTAGGAGTTTTCATAGCTTTTTCATATGGGTGTGGTTTGGTTAGAATGTTTTAAAAACTTTCAAAAAAATTTTTTTTTTATATTTAAAGTTTTGTGGCTATTACAATTAGATTTTAATTCTCTACCCATCACTACCACCTGCTACTAAACATCTACACAAGCCTTCCCAAGAAACGCCTGCGGTTTTTCATCTTGTATATCCACGCATGAGTATTTTATTTTAGATAACTTGGTCACGGTTGTTTGCAATATATTTTTTTAATTAAGTTTCAAAAACAAAAAAAAGCAAAACTAACAAAATTGGAAATTAATATAAAATTAAATAGAAAAAAATAAATATAAAAAATAATTTGTGTACTGTTCTTATTTCTTAAAAGTGGTTGTTTTCAGCAACGAAGTTTGATTAGGCAAAGCAAAAAAAATAGTTTTAAGTTGACATTAAAAAGAATAATTTTCCTTTATTTTATTTGTTTTTTATTTAAAGAGGAAAGCGAAAATATAAATTGCTATCTGTTTGTAAAGTATATTTGTATAGTTTTAATGTAGCGTATATATTGTCCCTATATGGAAATGTCTATATAATGGATGTGTATACTTTTATGTTTTTTAAATTATGTTTATTAACTTTTTTTATTATATAATTATATTTATTTGTTCAATTATACACATGTTTTGCTTATTTGGATTTCACCTCAAACACTGAGAGCCTGTAGTTCGAATTTTACCAATGTTAATTCTTTTAAGTTTTTTTTTTTTTTTCACTGGTCATATATTTGCGTTGTAACCATTTATCTTATCTTTTTTTGTATATAAAATATCTTCCATTTAAGCCTTTCAGTGTTTTTTCTAAGTAAGACGCACATACATTTATACATAGTTTTTAAGCTTCAATTAGACCATGTCACATAACCTTAATTGTTTTATATATTACCTTTCTTTCCTAAACGTTTTTTATCCCCGATCTTTTAGCGTTATGTAATTTTGGAAACCTGTTGCTTTTTCAGTTTTGGCTCAGTGTGTTTAGTTCTACCTGCCTCCTCCCTTTTGGTCTACTATGTTATTGGTGAACAATTATTATTATTAATTTTTATGCAATTATTAAAAATAATTGTTTGTTTATATATCACCAATAACATAGTAAACCAAAAGGTAGGGTAGAAAAACAAAAGAAAGTTTTTTGAATGAGGTAGTGGTTTAGAGGATTTCAAACCAAGGACCTTCTGTGTACAAGGTTAACCCTTTATCCAAAAAGGCTAAATGTGCGTTCAACTATAAGCAAATAAATACAATTATATAATAAAAAACGTTATGCATAAAAGTATATGTACGCATTACATGGGCCTTTTCATATAGAGACAATATATACTTGTTATTAAAATTATACAAGTATATTTTTACAAACAGATAGCAATTTATATTTTCGCTTTCCTTTTTAAAATAAAATATAAGAAAATTCTTCTTTTTTATGTCAGTTAATAATAAATAAAATTTTTTATTTTTTGCTTTGCCTTATCAAATTTTGTTGCTGAAAAGAACAACCTAAAGAAAAATAAAAACAGTACGCAAGTTATTTAAATTATTAATTTTTTTTTTTTTTTTTTTGCTACTTATTTAAATAGAATAAATATTATTTTAGTCTCCTAACTCTGTATGTATATATATATATATATATATATATATATATATATATATATATATATATATATATATATATATATATATATATATATATATATATATATATATATATATATATATATATATATATATATATATATATATATATATATATATAAAGCGTCATTAGAAAAAGTTTCCTTGTTAAGTTTAATCGTTTTTTTTTTTAGTACTAATGCGCAATGAAGTTTTTTATAAAAACAAAAGTGTTTATTTACAATTTTTTGTAGATTAGTACTATTTATTTATTTATTTTTTTAATATTAATATAATTTTATATGGTGTGGTAACAAAGCAGACGGAACACTACAAGTTTTACATTATAAAAACATTAGTGACGATTCAAAGTTATTTCAAACGTAATTATCTTATTGTTTATTATTTATTTTAGTTAATTTTTTTATTTTATTTTTTTTATTTTTGTTTTAGTTATTTATTACTAAGCTATTTTCATTTTATTTTTCATTGTTTTTTCAAGAAGATTTTATTTATTTTTTTTAAATAAGTTTGTTTTTTTAGTTTTTTATAAAGTTAAGTTGAGTTAAGTTTTCAGCGCTTTATTAAAATGTTACAACTGTTATCAAATCTTTAAAACAAAATATTATTTGCGTGGTCATACAAAGCTGTGAAAACGCACACCTTCCTGACCAAGCCTGTATACATATATATGTATATATATGTATATATATGTATGTATATGTATATATATGTATATATATATATATATATATATATATATATATATATATATATATATATATATATATATATATATATATATATATATGTGTGTGTGTATGTATGTATGTGTATATATATATATATACACATATATATATGTGGTCATATACAAATATATAAAATATAAAATGATCACACATAAATTTTTTTTTTTTTTGACAACTTGGCCACGGCTCTAGGCATATATCAATAATTTGCATATTTTAAAAAATGTGCTGAAAAAACAATACCAATTTAAAGAGAAAATTAAAAATAAACAAATCAATAACTAAAAAGAGAAACAAACTTAACGAATGATAAAATGAATAAAGAATGAATCAGAGAAAATAAAAATATAAAACTAATACATTTTTTAATTTTGAAGCTTCTCAATTAATAGTTCAAATTTAATTTAATTAAAAAGGGTCTCAATTAACAATTTAAAGCTAATAATTTTTCCTGTATCGCCACATTGATGTAGTACTTAGGTTGATTAATTGTGTCATTTATGAGGCACGACTGTTTCACAGGTGTTGGGTGAGGGTTTAAATCCCTACTAACAGGTAAATTTTTTTTAATGTTTTATATGCTTTGTATCAAAGTTTCAAATTTTTAAATAATTAAGTTTCGAAGTAATTAAGCTTGGATTGAATTACTTTGAAACATTGATTTTTTCTAAATTCTTTGTAGTGAAACACTTTTAAACTCAAATAAAAAATTTTATTTTTTTAGTTTAGGTTTGTATTTTTTTATTTAGTTTTTATTTCTTTTTCCAGTTTATAGTTTATTTGTTTTTAATTTTAGTTTACATTTGTTTATTCAGCACATTTTTTGTATTGTTTTGTGTAATGATTGATTTATTCACTTGAAAAAATCAATCATTACACAATTAAAAAGTCATTTTTAATTGTGTAATGATTGAAAATATATGATTTAATTTAAAACTGATAAAAAATATTTGATTTAATTTTAAACTAATTTAATAATAGTATATAATTTTATTCTAATTAAAAAAAAGTAGTTTTTTTTTAGATTTAAAAAATATAAAATTTAATTTTGATTTAAAAAATGTATTTAAGTTTATTAAAATTAAAGTTATTGCTTGGGTTTAACTGTCAAAATTATTTAATTTAAAAATTTATTAAAAAATATTACTAAATATTGTTCAATACTTAAATTTTATTTATAAAAAAAAAATTAGCTCATAATATCACAATTGTTTTTTCAGTTTTCCTTCCTAAACATTTTTTTTTAAACTCAAATTTAAATTTTAAATAAACGGCTGCATCAAAAAAATTTTTTTTATATATTAAATTATTCAGACTTAGAGAGTTAGTTGCCTTCCCTAAGGCTGAGAGGGCCACTACAGTCAAGGAGGCTACTTTATTATGGTTACAACCCTCTTTTAACTCTACAACTTCGAAACATAAACCTTGATAAACAAGATTGCTGTGCGGAGAAAGGAGTTGTTGATTCAAGATTTTTACAAGGAGTATTTTTATTATATATTGATTTCATTAGCAGATGGTTCTTTCATATTCAAAATTTAGATTTGAGATGACATTTTAATTAAGTCAGATTTTTTAGATTATTTTATACTATTTGTTAAAGACTTTAAATAATAAAACTCATTTCAGAAAATACTAAATTATTAATTGATAAAAATGCAACTGATTGTTAGTTTATAATAAGAATATGCACTAATTGTTAGTTTATTTAAAAAATTTTAAAAAGAGTTTTATGACAGATATTTTGTAAATGTAAATATAATTACAAAATCAAATATAAAATATTTTTCTCTTTTTCCTTATCCCCCTTCCCCTGCAATCATCCGCAAATGTAGGGTAGAATAGGGTGTGGGATTGAAGAGAAAATATGGCAATAAGTTTTTTTTGTGTGTGTGAGAGAATTTTCTGTTCTGCCCAAGATTCTACGCTTAGAAAAGACAGGTGTACAATAAGGTAAATAAATTGAATTTTATAAAGCAATAAAAATGTTGAAGTAAAACATGTGCCAAGTTAAAAATGTATAAAAGTACTTGTGATTTTTTAAATATTAAATAATAAACTTATTAATAATAAGCATAATTGACCACATTGTTGTTATTATTAAATTTATATTATAAAAACTAAATATCAAAGGAAAATTGATTTGGAAAAAATAACTTTTTTTGACTAGTATTAAGACAGGGTAGTTAAAAAAAATGTCAACTTGCTTTACATGTGTTTGGGACTGCTAACAATTTTCTTAAGGTTTTATTTATTTTCAAAAAATATTGCAATATTTCAAAGTTAATATTTCTAGTTCTTAAAGATATTATTTTAAATTTAAAAGGAATTCGATGTGCTTAAACACAAATTTATCTGTGTTTGAATACACACTAAACAAATTGTAAAATTTTTTTTTTCTAAACAGCAAAATTTAATGTTGAGGTTTGAGTCAAATTTCACTTTTATAAACAAAAGCATATTGTAAAATAAACTGTGAACTCTTTCTTCAACATCTGTAAACTTGGACAATAATTAAAAAACAAAAACCTGTTTGCAATTTCAAAGTCTTTAAATTTACGTGAACTTTACAATTTAAAAAAATAGAAATCAGTAATAATAAAAATACTTATATGTATAATATAAATATTATAAATAGATATATTTATAATATCTTTAAAAATTTTAAAATCTTTAAAATTTTTTTTAGAAATAAGAACTTTAAAACTTTTCATTCTTTAGATAGAGGTTGAGCAACTCAAGTATATTAAACTAGAAAATGAAAACAACACCATTATTAAAATTCTTGAAAATGAAAGACAAGAGCATTGCAACACGTTTAATAACCTTGTAAATGATTGTAAAGCATTTGCTCAACAGCTAATGCAACAATCTCTTAAGTATGAACAGTGTCTAAAAGAAATAGAAAAAGAAAAACTAAAAAATAAATTATTAAGTGAACTTATGGTAAAAGAAGCACAGCGATTTAAAGAAAAACTAAAGTCATATGAAGACCAGGTTAATGATCTCCATGTTCTTGAGCAAAAAAGACTTGATTTAGAAATGAAATTAGTTGTGTCAGAAAAGTCATCAAAAGAAACGTTTCGTCAATTAAATGAAGAAAGAGCAAAAAATAGTAAGCTCCAATTCCAATTAAATCAACTGCGTAAACGCTTACCCCCTGAATGGAGTGATGAATGCAGTGATGAAGATATATTACTAGTACAAGATCAAATCGAAATACCATTTCGACAAGCAAAAACATCAACAATTCAACTCAGCAATAGTTCAGAGCATACTAACTCTGACGAAAATAAAATTTTTCCTTCTACAATGATCTTACAACAGGGGAAATTAGCTGCAGTTAAAAAATCTGACACTATTAGCAATTCTCCTCAATTTTTAAGAAGAGAAATTTTTACTAATAATATTGACAATAAAATGAAAAGACGATCATTTGAGGACATGGGATCCTTAAATGTCACACATAACTCACAAGATACAATGAAACGGAATTCTTATGAAAGTATACCCAATCAATCTTATGATCAACAAAATATTTTTAAAGAAAAACATAATTCATATGAAGAAATAAATGAATCTCATTCATTACATTTTGTAAATTTATGCGATGATAAAAATAACAGAATATTACCTCCCGCTCCCCCTCGTCGAGTTTCATCTTTAAATGAAAAAACACCTATTGTTAAAGTACCTATGCAACTTCAGCCAAAAAAATCAGCTGTCACATCTTTAACCATGGTGCCCTCTCGTCCTGGAGCATCTTCAGGTAAAATATGACTTAATGTCAAGAATTATTTGAAGTAGATTTTTTAGTGTTTTTTTTTTTTTACTCAAAAACCTTTTAAAATGTTTTTTAAATTTTTTGATGAGGGTTTAAATTTAATTGTCTAGAAATTTATTGTGACTAAAAACTGTTACCAATTTTACTGTTAAGTTTTATGCTTAAGATAATCAATAAATTTAATGATAAATTTTGAAATTGTATCTTTAGAATGATTTATGGTATTTTTAATCGATATAAGATTTCCTAAAAAATATTTAAATTTACCTACTTTGAAAAAAAATAATAATCTGTAAATTATATTTTAAATTATTTTTAACTGACATCCATTAATCAAGATAGATTGACCTAACACAAGTTTTTTATAACATTCAGGGCTCGAATTAAGTGATCGCGAATTGCGATATCTGGAAATGCTTCCGGTCTTTAAATTTTTAGCTTTTTAAAAACCGTAAAACTATTTTGATCATTAAACTCAATAGATATCGTTTAATAAAAAATATTTACGTCGATTATGATATAAAATCTTAATGTAAAATCATATTATCACTATTATTTTTTATTATTATTAAAGATTATAATTTAAACTTTGATATTTTAATTTATTTTATAAAACATCAGATAAAACTAGAAAAATAAAGCACGATTAAATACAATATAAATATTAAAAAACAAGCGGTAATCACAACAATCTAAAGGACTTTAATAGTAATTGAATACTTTAAATAAAAGAAATTGTTAAATAAGATATAAAATACTTTTATTTTGTATTTAAATCTCATTCAATGTTTTCTTATCAATTTAACGCTTGTAACACTTTAGCTGATACAAATATAAAATTAAAAGACAGAGGAGTTAATATATAAAAACTAATTTAAACTTTCTAATAGTTACTTTAAAACAAAAAAAAAGAAGCTCTAATAACATATTTTAAAAAAATATACTTTATAATTTTTTTTCTTATTAAATAATTAAATTTTAATTTAAAACATTTAAATTTTTAAATAAATGATTCCATAAACTTTCCCCCTAAATAAAAATGTATTTTAATGTTTTATACAATGCGCAAGTAGCTTTAGCATACTTTTTAATTGGTTGTTTTTTTATACAAAGTTTTATACAATGCGCAAATAGCTTAAGCATAGTTATTCGTTGGTTGATTTTTAATTTACCACGAATGTTTTTGAGACCTTTAGTAATAATAATTTTTGCATTGCAACTTTTTATAATCCTTAATTTACATATTATTAATTATTGTTTAAAAAAACAATAACTAGTAATATGTAAATTTTGACTGTTAATATTTTTGCATTAGTAAATTTATTGTTTTTTCTTTTCATTAATTTTTGCAATATGATAAACTGACCGTTTCATTAAAACAGTGTTTACGGTTTTAAAAAAAAAACTAAGAATTTAATGACCACAGATATTTTCAGATATTGCAATTCGCTATCACTTAATTCGACCCCTGACATTAATGTTCTTATAGTATTATTTTGTACAAGAGCATGCTGGTTGCTAATTTGCACAAAAGCATGTTAGTATTAGAGAATATAATTATTTAATATGAGATTCGAGGTAAATACATTACTACTAAACAAATGAATATACTTGGTAATTTAGTTTAACTTTTAATAATTAAATTAGAGCTAAACCAACACATTCTGTATACTTTGTATATAAAACGTATACTTGGTTCATATAATGGTTTATAAAAAGTTTTATTATAAAAAGCATGTTGACCCATATTTTTTAAAAAAAGCATTTATTTGAATCCCTTATTTGCTGAGTATCATACTCAACATACAAATAAATATTTGTATGTTGTTTGTATGTATAGTATTTAGCATACAAATAAGCTGTATCATTTTTTAATTACTTTAATTTTTTACACTTTTTTTAGGTTTGTTGTTTTATGAATTTTTATTTTTAATGAAAAAAAGGTTTTTGTTAAAAAAGTTAATAACAGTATTTTGTTACTCCCTCTGTTTCGAAATAATGTTCTAATTTCACGTTGTTTTTGTTTTTTGTTCCAAAATACTATTTCGATTTAATATTATTACTAATTTTGATGAGAAAAAAATCAAATACTTTTAATAAAATGAATTTTTTGAGAAAATAAAAATTATTTGAAAACTTGTATAATGGTGACGGGGTGCCAAGGGGCCCCCCTTCCTTCTTTGAAAAAAAAAAGTCGCGCCCTGGCCTATGTCTATGTGCATATACACACAATTGCGGAGCTATATACCACAATAAACCACAACTAGACTATCCTTCTATCTTGTTTTTGTATATTTATTTATCTACTCAGCTTATATATGAAAATATAAAAAACTAAATCAAAAATCCAGATTATTTATTGCTGTAAAAATTTAAGGGGTTTTCTTACAACACTTTGTTCAACAAAAAGAGAAATTGGCAAGTTTCCTTGGTTGATTATTCGATTCTTTCCAATATGAGGTTGTTTGTTGCAATTTCCCCCGTTGACTTTCAGTATTGCTGGCATACAATCTTGAAGTGAAAAAAAAAAATCTTGAAGAAAACTTTATTAAGTGCACCACCTTCCATTTTGTCAAATGTTTCATGTACAAGCTTGATTATCTCGTCAATATTGGGGCTGTTACTGAAATATTTACTTTGTAGTGCTCTAAAATATCCTAAATCTAAGGTATTCATATCCAGACTGTTTGATGGCTGACAAATTAAACAAATATCAAACTCATCCTGAGACGCGTTCACCATAAATTCTGAATCATCAATGGCTGTATGCGGTTTTAAAAAAGCTTGACTTCTTTTAATATGATTTCCTGCCTATTTTGAATGTATGGCTGGTAAAATATTTAAAACCATGTTGCAATACTCAAATTTATCTACAGCAATTAAAGTTGTAACTAGTATTCCCAATTCTTACTGTTTCTCTTCGCAGGCTCTTGCTTTACAAATGGCCAAATGCCATTTGTAAAGCAATCTTTCCATCAAACCATTCATTCATATGTTAGTCAATTCTTGGATCTTGCAAATGCCCTAGGAACATAACTTTTATGATAAAATTCTTTGATTTTACATGTCAATGGGGTTCAGGTTCATCAATCTCCAAGTAGTATTGTACTGATTCTTCTGTCAAATGAAACCATTTTTCATCTACATGAATCGTGTTGAACATATTTACAAACTGAATTGTACCATTTGCGAAAAGTTGTAAGTGATAAAGAATAAATTCGATACAATTCTTCATATTTTGATCTGTTAAAAAAAGCTTCACAGCTGACGTGCACGCTCTCAGATCACCAGTCTTTAGTCAGCGATAAAGGTTTGTTATTAGAATATTTAAAGATCCTGCCAAGGATCAAATGGCTTCTTGTTGAAAGGGATTTTACTGATTCTTCCTTACAGTTCATGATTTTTCTTTTTTCGTCCACAGCTTCCCTTCTTTTTGATGGTTTCCTGTCCATGATGCCAAAGGGTACTGATTGTTTTAGTGCAAAGGCACTTTTTTCTCAGTAATTTTAATTAAGTCTTTTTTTAGTTTTCCATTAATGCTTTGAGATAACTCAACGTAAATCACTCATTGCTCATTTGTAAGTTCACTCTCAAAGCTTGTTTGTAAGTTCACTCTACATTGCTTTTTTGTAAGTTCACATGTATCTTTTTTATTTATTTTAGTGAAAACTTAGTTGCAAGTTTTTAAAGTAACATAAATTATATTAGCTGTTTCTAAATTTAAAATATATTGTTACTGCAGTAGAAAAATTCAGTAAAAACGTCACAAATTAAACCCTTGACTTTATTTGTTACAGAATTAAAAACAATAAAGTCATCTATTGAGCATAAAGTATTTAAACTAAATGGTTTTAACCACTATTAAAAAGTTTATTACAGGTTAAGAATATTTAAAAAACTGTTACTATTTTCTTTTTTGCACTAAAAATGATTAAATGTTATAACATTTTTAAGTTTATAATTTTTAACAAATTAGAACAGTATTTTGGAACAAAATATTTCATAAAAAAAGCATCCTTTTTAGAAATTAATGTTGAGATGGTGTTATGTAATATTATCGGAATAAATTGTTTATAACATTATAGAAAAACATCTATATTTTGTATAAAAAGTGTGTTTAATTAAAAACATAATTTATTTTCAATAGTTCTTTACGTTAAATGCAAATTGGAACAGTATTTCAGAACAGAGGGAGTATTATTTTTTATAATGTTTCAATCAAATTTAAAAGTGTTTAAAGTAACTTATAGAAAGAGTGTTTAAATAAATTAAGCAAGTCAAACGATTAACTAACAAGTAACAAACATTACAAAGTGCTTTTTTACCTTTTATATATTTTAACAGGTAATAAAATACTTTCTTACCTTTTATGTACTTTAAGTAGTAAAAAACACTTTCCTATCTGTTAAAGTACACAAAGGTTAAAGTTTTTTTTAGAAGTATGCAGGATTTGGTAAGGTTCCACTTATATAGTTACAAACTAATCAATGGAGTACTATCTAAAAAGAAATCCACAAACAAACAAACCAAGAAAAAAGCAGTATAAATAAATAAATAAAAATAAATAAATAAAAAATTATGAAAAGAAAACTAATTTAAAGAATATAAATAAAATTAACAAAAAATAATAACAACAAAATGATAATAATAATAGTAACAATAGTAATAATAATTATTATCATTATAATAAAATTACTAATAACAAAATTAAAAAAATAATTTTTAACTGTTATTAATTTACAAAATTACAAAAGCAATTGATTTATGGTTTATATAGCATTAATGGAAATATTATGTACCAAAAACAAAATTTTTTTATTCAACCAAACAGCAAGTATAATTACTTTAATAAAAACTAATTTAATTAATGTTGAAATGTGATGTTTAGCTTTTTTTGTTAATATTTTTTTTTAATTTACAGATTAATAATTTCACATCTTTTTTAAACATTTTTTGTAATATTTTTATGAAAAGACAACACTAAT